GAGGGCTGTATACCTCCCCTGTTAAATTTTTTTATAGGCTACAATTTGATGTGCAGACCGCAGGTTAGTTGGAATTTATTGCTGCTTAACTGCAAAAAACAATGGCTTAACTATAAGAAAACAAGAAAAGTTCTATAATCTCTTTTCAGACCCTTTGAATCTGTTCAGAAAATACTTGAGCATAATGAAATTTTATCCTTTAAAACTATTTTGTATTAATCACAAAAAAAAAAAAAGGTCAGAGTAGAAAACTGATTTTTGCAGGGAGGGTTGTTGCATGCATAGCAAAAGTATGCCCCAGAAGGGCTTGAGCCTCAGATTTGATCCCATGCACTTTGGAGCTATTCTGCAAACTCACATGTGGATAGCATGCCTGGTGCAAGGCAACAGGTGATAAGCTGCTGCCTATCAAAATGGAGAGGTTCATTTTAATCTCTGATAATTTGGATTAACAGCCCTAAAGTTATAAGTGAGAAAATTGATACCCACCCCCAACCCCTGAGCTCCCTTTGTAATGAAGACAAAGACACTTGAGCAGTACCTTGAGCATAAGCTCTTTCTGACGTCTGCGTTTTCTCTCATTTGTTTGGTTGTTTTTTTTACACGTGCACCTGAAGTACCCATGTGATTGTGTTGTGTGGCACATTCAGCCTGTGTCGTGGTTTAAGCTCAGGCTTGTAAATCAGAGCCACGCAGCCCTCTCGCTCACTCTCCCCCTTTCTTCCCTCTGCCCCCAGTCGAAAGAATGTAACTCCTACGGGTTGAGATAAGAACAGCCCAGTAACAGGTAAAACACAAATCACTGCTGCTACCACCAATAATAATAATGATAAGGGAAATAACAAGGGAAGAGAATACAATACCACCCGCTGATACCGATCCTGACCAAGCAGTGAACCAGCCCTTCCGGGTAACTCTCAGTTTACATCCTGGGCATGATGTGCTGTGGTATGGAATACCTCTTTGGTCAGTTTGGGTCAGGTGTCCTGTCTCTGCTTCCTCACGGCGTCCCCTCCTCCCTGGCAGAGCATGAGGCTCACAAAGTCCTTGGTCAGACTAAACATCTGAGCAGTAACTAAAAGCATTGGTGTTATCAGTGCTGTTCCCAGGCCGAAAGTCAAAACCACAGAACTGCACCTAAGAAGGAGAAAAAAATGACTGCTACTGCTGAACCCAGGACAGCCTGGTTACAGCTTAGTGTAACTAACTCTGAAACTCTGTAGTGCCATTTACATACATGGCAAGAAGGAAATACTTTGAATGAAAGTGAGGGAAGTTTTAGACCACATAATACTTAATTAAATAAGCTGTATGAAGGTGTATAAAACCTAGTTTCTTGGTGGTGTGTGCTTGCACTGTCTCACGCAGCATTTTCACAGTGTCTTCTCCTTGGTTTACTTTGTCTGTACTTAGTAAGGCAGACTGACAGGTATGTTAAAGTAGTCACAGAACACGAGTGCACACCTATTAGGAGTTCAGGGAAGAAAGGAGCAATAGGGGCATATGCTTCCATTAAATGCTTCCACGCATGCACTATGCATGAAACTAGATTTAGAAGAGGAAACATTTTCTCTCCTTGTTAGAGAAATGACAGATTTTTCTCCAATGCAATATCAACTATCAGAGACACATGCTCTAATAAGCAGTGTAAAACCTTCTATGTACAACATCCCGTTAAATGAGTTAAGTGACAATGAGCAGTCGGAGAGAAGAGCAGGCCGTTGTGAGTGAAACCTGATGTAGGACCAGCAGAGGGAGCTCTAAATTTTTTTTCTTTTTTTTTTCTTTTTTTCTTTTTTTTTTTTTTTTTTTTCCCTGCAGAAAGAAACGTCCTTAGGAACCGACTGCGAAAAATAGTCGTCAGTTACTGAACACAGTGGCTGGCTGCACTGCTCCCCCTCTGATCCCAGGAATCACAACTGCAACATTATGTCCCATTTCTTTGGGTAGGAGTACTCTCCTGGCACGTTTAAATTGTAAGTTAAAAGGCCTTTGTACCGTCACTGTTTGTTGGAGAAAATAATAATAGTATGCTCGTTAGATCCTCCACTCATCAAATGATTTGCTAAGCTCTTTCTTAATATATTACATGTCAGCACTCTTGACCTTTTTACCTGGATCCATTGCACTTAACAGGAAGCCACAGTGAAGTGCCAGACTATGATCTCTCAACAGAGTGCCCTGGCCTGGGTCACAACATGTTTTCTTATTTTTAGACTAAGTTCCAAGATGATGGGTGCCAGGACACTGAAGGGACATGGAACATGGAGTCAGCTACGGAGTACTTTTTTCATGGCCAGGCAGCAAACTTAATATGCCTCAGCACTCCTCCCCAGCAAGGACTCACACAGAAGCAGAGCCTTTTGGCATTACACCTTCCTCAGCTCAGGGTGAGAAGCTGCCCTGGCCAAAGGGAAATGTTACTGGAAATCATTTCACTGTCAAAATCCCAGACTGAAAACCAGCGCAGTTGTGGAATGAGCTGCTCAGGTGCTCTCCAGATCTTTTTGGCTAAATGTAGTCATGGACTGCTTCTACCTTCAATTATTTCTTTCAGCAAAAGAAACTGGAGAGAAATTAAATACCCTCTCAGCACAGTGTATTATCACTGACAGCAGCACAATTGAAAGCTGCTTGTCAGCAGTGTCCAAGGCAGGGATGACTCGTACCTCTCATCCTTTCCTCAGTAATATGCTTATGTATTAGCATGAGCATTAAGCTGATTAACATTAGCTTAATTGGTAGCAAACCGGGTTTGAGATGAACACTCTTGAAAACTTTCTTGAGTATCATTGTGAGAGACATTTTCTCTCTCTGTGAAGCAGGCAAGTGTTTTATTCTCATTCTGTTTTACTGACAGCAACACACCAATCTTCCTGAATTGTAAACAAGCAAACAGCTTTGACCAGTACTGTAATACCAGTAATTACAAGTATCTGCTAGAAAGACATTTTGAAGATTTCTCTCTCTTCTGTTTCTCTGATCATTTGAGTGCTACTGCTAACTTCCTTGTATCACATGCATTTACTAAACCCCTTCCAAATTCAGACAATAGGTGAAGCCGCAAGCAGGAGCAGGGCCTGACCAGCACTTCAGCACGGGTTCCAGACAGCTTGACATCACACCCAGGAGAAAGCCTGGGGATACTGCAGACCTGCCCACCAACAAGTACCTTAGCAAAGCTTCGTGCAGGTGCTCTGAGCTCAGAGTGCAGCAGGCAGGGACTGTAGAGAGACTGGGGAAGCTTCATCATTGAAGGTCTTAAAGGCAAATTAAACAAATATAATGAAACACTAGCCTGTCCTGGGACAGAACAGTGCATCACTGAGGTCGCTCCCGACATTCCCTTCCTCTGGCGCTATGATGAGGGCAGAAAGGACACATGTCACAGGTGTCTATAGTCACAGAGGTAAGCCAGTGGTGATATAGCTACAGGTCTTCTGTCTCATTGTGCTGTGTATTTGCCAGCTGTGTGCCTCATACAAAGTAAAGAGACACAAGTTGCAGTTTTTAAACGGTTCATTATCCACTCACTGAATAATTGTGTGTCAAGGAACTGTTTCCACTCACTGTACAGGACTCGAGATAGCATGGTTTCTTTTGTGAACATAAGTAAAATGAAGTGCTTTATAAATTCCCCATATATCTAAGTTAATATTATGTTTCCAAAGGGCTTTGTTATTAGAAGTTGATAAATGATGCATAGGTAACTTCAGAACTCTAAGTAATTTTAGAAGATAAATTCTATAAAACGTTTATCTAATATGCTAAGAAATTTGAGGCTTTTAAACATCATACAGCTGTTAAAAAACAAAACCACAAAAACCAAAGAAAACGAGAGGATCTTTACTTTTACTCCTACCATGCTGAACTTGTATCAGTTAACCTCAACTAAGTAAAGATATTTGTTTCATGATTCAGGTTCCTAAATTGATATTGCTTATAGACTTTTAGTTCAATTTAATCTTACTTCTTCATCCAAACTGCCATTGTTGGAGTCTCTTAAGTGTCCTATTTGAGATGCTTACAATACAAGAAATATCTGGTTCCTATTACTGCCACAGAACCTCCATCCTCCCTAGGTTGAGAGTGTTTGTGATGCCAAAAAGCTAATTAGGTCAGTGTGTCAGTTTAAATTATACAGGAGATGAGCATTACATGTTTACTAAATTTAACTGTTTCTGGATCTGGAATGTCTGTTTGCAAGGACAAAACAGGAGCAGAGACACTGGGCTTTAAATTAATCGAAAGCAGTGTACTTAAAAGCATGCAGAAAATGAAATGGCAGACAGAATTACAGTTTTATTGTATTATCTAAATTATAAGGCCAAGTAAAAGCTGAAGAAAAGGATGGCTTCCAGAGTGGATATTCTGCAGGCATTTAAATGGCTTGTTCAGCAACTGCCTGGGTAAGTCATCAAATAAGTAATGTGAAAGAACATTTTTGAAGTGCATGCAACATGAATTTGCATGCATTAAGTACCTTCAGCTGTGTCTAAATTAATGGTGCATGGAAGTACTTCCTAGGTCTTGAGTCTAGGCACACGTCTCAAAGGTATCCCATCTTTGTCCTGTTTAGACTTTAACATGTCATCCCATTTCCCTAGGCCATGTGCTTACTTCCCTGGGAAAAATCTGGGTGCACACCCCAGAAGGGAGTACTGCAAGCTTCTGGCAGGGACTCAGCTGTGAAATCAGGAGTGCTGTAGAGTGTACCTGGCCCAGAGCCTAAACACATCCTCTTTGCAACTGGGATATACAGCCTTAAGTGTGTCTTTAGGCTTTTAGGTTATCAGTATGTGCAACAGTGCACCAGCTCACCTTTCTTCCAATAGAGGAAGTTATGCACCCCTCTTGCAACACAGGGATTAGCACACTCCCTCATAAAGTGACATCTTGATTACATATGCTAATCTTTAAGATTACCCTTATTCTTATGCAGTAGCTGACACATCCACCATTACTTTTTCTTTTGGGAGAGATGAGTTTGACACTTAACAGTGACTGGATTTTCCTCCCCAGTATGCCTGAAGTCTGATAACCCAGTGACTCCACTAGGAACCTTCTGGTTCATAATATTGTAAGGGAAGGTCATGGGCAACCTGTTTCTTTCACTTCAGCCCATAATATCTTGGGATGTGAAAAGGTTATGCTTTCATTTTTGGTTAAGTTTGCAGAACATTCTGGTGATAAAGCTGGTGATGTTCTGGGGAGAGAACAGGGGAGAACTTGTGAGAAAAAGACTGGAAAGGAAAAATACCTCAAAACCAGCTAACTTTAGTATTCTTCTTATTGATCCCACCAGTAAGAATAACAGTTGATGTGCTTTTCCTGCACTAAATAGATGGATTTATTTCTTGGTAGTAAACAGTGTCTATGGGATTATTTTCAGATGGCATTGTGAAGTTTATGCTTACTCAAACAATAGGCACTGGAAAGTTGATGTAAAAATATGGTTGGAGTAAAAATAAATGTTTTTCTCTATATTCTTCCTGCTTCTTGGAACTGGATGTTTCTTAAAGTGCTGGTGTGAAAGCAAACACTGCCAAAATGAAGATAACAGCAGATACCATCTCCATTCCATGTAAGCTAATAACCTGCCTAAGGTGAACTCTTTGTTATGTTTTCTTCCGATGTATGTTGCATACAGTGTAGTCTCTCAAGACTTGTAATCAAACAGAAGCTGCTGAAATATCAGCATATCAACTTCCTAAAAGAGCTGTTGTCACCTATTGTCACACATATAGTCACACTGTTTTGAGTATAATCCTTATTTTCATCAGTAAATACCTCGTGATCAAGTAGGTGCCCTTTTCTTCCAGGTGTCTACAGAACAGAAAGGGAACTGATGATAAGAAAGAAATCAACTTTAGCTGTTGTTGTTTAATATGACCACCAGGAATGTACCCCCAGACATGATAACAACAGCATCTGTCATTGAACTGTGCAAGCTCTATCTGCCTCCTGGCACATTTCAGATATAAACAGTGAGGGCCTCAGCTGATCTCTTAGGAGTTTGCGCAGCTAACAGCAGCAGCAGAGCTTGAAAATAATGCATCCTCCCTATGCCATGGCCTCTCTGAAGAATATCCCTCTCCTCCCCAAAAAATTAAAAAAGGAAGGGTGGATCAGCAAAGGAGGAGAATACAGATGCATACACAGACACCTGGATAGGTTTAAAGGCAGGGCCATCAGTTAAAGCTCCAGATCATTTCCTGTGCTGTCCCACCCACAGGTTCGATGGAACATGGCAAAGTAACTGCTGAAGCTATGTGTGATGGAAATGGTCATGCAACAAAGGAAGTGGCAGCAACAGCAAAAAATATACTTTCCAAGCAAAACTCTCTGAGCCATGCTTGTATGTTGGAAACGCAATCTGGGGACAGGAGGTTAGATGAAAACACACTTGTTTGAGAACAGCAGCCCTCTGTTCCTCAGGGCTTGCTCCTGGCCTTGCTCAAGCCATAGTCTGCTCAGGCAGCTGCTGGCAGCTGCAGCCACCAGCTGTATCCAAGGGGATCCCAAGGACAGACCCAGTTCAGCAGCCATGAAAACAGTACCCTGAAGACATGAAGCAATTGTTGATCTGCATGCCATCAAGCCCCAGTACTGAATAAAGAGAAGAATAATCTCTTTTTATTCACTTTATCTATCCTGTTCTCCTTATTAGATCTCTTTCCTTGTGATTAATTCTCAACCTGGTATTTTTAATAACTGTGTATTTCATTTGCATTTGATACTTAAAGAGGGAGGGAGGATAAAAGGATGAAACTCCTAGAATTAATGCACACCAACCCCTAACCTTAAACATTGGTATTACCCTTCTGTAAGACTATCCTCTGTCAAGTAACAGTACCCAGGAAATAAATACTAGTCTCTTAACAGCTGTCCTGGAGACTACATCCCTATTATGACTCTTCTTGAACAGAGTAAACTAAATAAAGTTGAATGAAGTTATCAGACATGATCTCATATTCAAAGAGCCAATGTCACTAAAATAACATTCTAAATTCCACAGTCTAATGTAATTATTAAAGTGGAATGTGGTCTGTTTAGTACTGTATTGATTTAAGCAGCTCTCTCTCGATTTGTAGCAACCGTGCCACTGCTGGCATTGAGTTAGCCCTGCTGGTATACTTACATCTTGGACAATATTTACAATATAACATCTTGAACGATATTCACAATATAGCAGTGAATAATGTCAATGGCCAAAATTTATTATATAGAGTTCAAGATTTTCAGCAAAGTATTTAAACCTAATGTTAAAAGTGGAAGGCTTGTGCTTACGGGAATAAAAGATGAGAAATAACAAGAAGGTATAAAGCATCAGACACTTCCTTTGCCTGTCTGGAAAAAGCAGTAAAAGTGACTTCTCATCTTCCTTTCTGTGTTGATTGATGCAGGGGGTGAGGGGGGAGTTCTCAGAGAAAGGATTGTAAGATGTGGTAGCGGTCTTCCTTTGTTCCTACAGTGGTGTCTTCTCCCCAGTCTGTGATGTTAAGCCTTCCTGCCTCCTTTGCTCTCCCACCTTTGATTCATTTTCAGTGGCCCCATTCTCATTTTTAACTTTTTTCAGTGCTGACCTCACAACCTCCATCACTTCTTTTCACATAGCTCTTTTCACTGCCATATCTCAGCCTCCTGAAGGCAGAGACACACATATCCCCAGGAGTGGTCTTTCACTTCTTACCTATTTTACTGTGAGTTTGTAGCCATTATATATGAATGGAATGCCTACATATATATGTATATAAATGTCTATATAAAACTTATGAGTGCTGGATCTGGGACAATAAACAGGTCTTATTTTTGCTTTTTCATGTCTGTGAAGTCCTGTGTGTCCAGGCTTGCCAACAAGCTGTGCCAAGTATGTTCCACACTAGCCTGGTTAGGCAGTCGCTGAGCTAAATGATTGTACTATAGCAGAGCAGCTGATACATTGGAGTAGCTGAAGCCAGAGGTCTTGCCTGTAGGCAGACAAAAGGCTGGAAGAATAAAGGAGCAGAGGTGATAAAAACTGACAAAAGACCCCTTTGAGGAAGGCATTTAAATGCATTTTATGGTCGGTAAAGAAAGCAATCTCCTTCCACAGCATGCTTTGTCCCATCCTAAGGTGACTGTTTAAAACGGCACCCTGCCTGAACTGACACACTTCTGACATGCTCCAAGCTCCCACCCCAAAATGTCAGTCTTGCTGGGCACCAGGAACTAAACCAGACATTTGGGGCACTGCCCAACTACACCAACAGATACATTTTTTGATGTGAATTTATCATAACTGTGTCAGCTTTGCTGCATGTGTGTCATGAGTATAATAGCACTGCCTCTAAGGCTTGTTCCTGCTGCAGTGTTATTGAGAATGTCCTCTTTTATTTTTTTAAACAGTAATTTATTGATTCCCCGTTGATTTGGTAGCGAGAAAAAAGAGAACAAAGGGCAGGGGAAGCTTTGTTAAGTGTGAATTCCCTGCTCAAAAAAAGAGAGAAAATATAGCGAAAGAAATCCCACCAGTAGCACAGTCAACCTTCAAATCCCACTTGTGATTTTTTTTTCCAGTTGTAGAGCAAGCAGTACTGGTTTACATGCATTTTCTTTTCTTATGTAGAGGAAATAAAATCTCTTCTTCCTTGATATCACTTGTTCACGGGAAATGGTGCAGTTTATTGCTGAAAAGGTGGTCGTTTTTTGGAAGTTTCTGTGCGAGATGTGCAGAGGAAAAGCAAACCCAAAGTAACTGCGTCCAGCAGAGGGAGCTCCAAAATCTGGTTTTCTTTCTGGGGTGCCAGATGGCGCTTTATCTCTGGTAGAACCGTGTTTTCATTCCCGTTTGTTAGGAATTCCTGTCTTTCTCTCTCACAATCCCCTAACATTCTAAAATAATTTTTATGTGTTTCATTTCAAATTACATTTTAATGCAGCAGTTGGCATATTTTTTCATAACATTTATTTATAATACTTCCCTTCAGCTTTTCCAGAAAAAAAAAAAAAAGAATAGGAATTATTGCATGTGTATCTTCCCAAATTTCCACATGCAAACTCTTTCAGCAGCTCAGTAAACGAGCAATGCTTTTTCCATTATGTTAAACCTATACCTATAAATGGCCATATGTTTCAACTTCTGGTCAAGCCAGCCAGCCCCAAATGAAGGTTATATGAGTTCTAAGCCATCACCTCTACCAGCAGCACCTGCTCTTCCCTCACTGTTCAAACTCATTAAAGAATGGCTGCAGATTCTGATGCCACTTTGTTGCTTGTGATAACACTGAAGTGCTAATCTAACAGGTATTCGTCTCATTTGAGGTGTGAAGGGTGACATGTATATGCTATTGCCCTCACAAGTGACATCTAGCAAGTATGCTTTATTTTGGTTAACATGGGAAAAATAATCGCTGTCTGTCTCTTGCTCACGGTGCTTAAACCTTTCCCCTCTGTGGAGAAGTGGATTCCAGGCTTCAGTGGCCCAGTGGTAGAAAGTGAAGTGTGGAAAGCAAAACCATGCTTAGCAATCCCTTTTGGCTTTATTTTATATATTTATTTAATTAATTTCCTGAAGCTTAAAAGCCTCAGGAACATGTAACAACCCATGTCTGCTGCCTTCAACATTTATTCTTACAAGTAAGACAGAAAACATATGGCATTTAGCTCCTGGTCATGTCATGCCACTAAAATATGCAGTCCTATGGGGGCTTTTTCTCTCTCTTGGAGGTGAAAGAGACATAATAGGAGCAAGCTTCAGAGGAAAAGGAACTGCTGTGCAGTTCTTCAGCAGCTGCTCTGTGTGCACAAGGGTCCAGATAGTTGTGTGTGGGATGAACACCCTTCTGAAACAGTGTGGCATTGCCCTTGATATAACTCCTTGTTCTGCCAAAGAATTACTGTCATGATGTACTCCTTCACATCTCTGTTCCTGCTGCATCAGGCCCCAGATGCAGAAGAATGTGTCATCATTCATTTTGCAGCCAAGAAAGAAGTAAATGTTTGTTTGCTGCTGGCTGCTTGATTTTTGTATTCTCTGCTATACAGACAAGAGAGCTGGAAGCCATTTGTTCATTTTGGAGATTCCCATTACAAAATCCTGGGTGTGTTGTGGCTGTGTTGGGCCCAAGTAATCAGAAAGCAGGATCTGGCTCCACAATCTGTTGTGATCCCTTCTTCCCCTCCTCTTTTTTGATCTGCTTCCAAGAGCTTCCTCTGGAGTCAGTGATGATGGCTGGGCACCTTGGATATCTGAAAAGCAAGACATTGATGTAGGTGCAAAAATAATGCTTTAGGCTTATTTTTTAAGAAGTTTACTATGCCTGGGTATGCAAATATTGAAACATTATTTGTCACACTGTGAAGAATAGTTACTAAACAGATAGATTCAGATTTATTTGTGCATTTTTAATATGTTCAAGTTGTGTCAAAAACTACTGCTTATAAATATGGTGCTTTCCTAAGTCTCACAGGGGACAGAGAAGCAAAACCTCCATCTGATACCTTCAGCTTAAAGCTCACCTCTGAGCTCCTTTCCTTCTGACATAATGCCAAGCAGAGATGGGAGATCAGATTAATTCCTAGAAGGCCTTGTGCTCTCAAACCACAGCTGAATTTCCTCTACAAGTACTTTTCAGCAAGCCTAATTTCAGGGATCTGTTCTTCAGATTCACTCTGTCATGTCATGCCCACCCAAAGGAATATTCTCTTCCTTAAAAATCAAGGTGCTCTTACGATAAGGCTTTTTTCTGTAACTTTTCCCTCTTTCCTGCTTCCACCATTCAGAGTCTAACTTAAGTGTTTAAAAAGGTAAATCAGAGCTTCATGCCTGATTCTTACTTCATTTGCAGCTGCGTAATCTCCAGTACTCCTATTCTGCAGCACGCTCTGTCTGACATATACTTCAAAAGCTGAGATCTGAGAGAGAAACAAACAGCACAAACCCCGCTTTTGATCTGGTTCCACTTCTTTTACGTTCCCACAGCCTGACCTCAGCATGTGACAAATGTGGGCTTCATGCTCGGCCCACGCACACACACACACACACAGAGTGGTAGCCCCTTGTCTCCAAATGCACCTCTGTGCACACCCCCGGCTCACTTTCTGGCCCCCAGTGTCCCCAGCCCTGCTGGCTTCCACTGCCCGGCTGAGGTGCTGCCATCGCACTCGCCTCAGCCTGGTCAGGGTAAATGAGGCAATGGCTGAAGCTAGGGAAACGCTGGGAGATGTGGGCACAGTTTCCTCCACAAAGGAGAGTGCCTCCATTATTTTAAACAACTCACCTCACTTGTCTTTGGTTCCCTTTCTTACAGTTGATCCTCTGGGTTTCAAACCGTGAGGAGGACAGAAGGGTGTGTGGCCATTTGCCCAGTTTCCGTGAGATAAAATGGCTGCCATCTCAGGCCAACACCTGTGGAGCTGGTACCCACAAAATGGCTGTCCAGTGCACGGTCGTGAGTCTTCTCCTCACAAAAGTGGCTGCCATCTCCCAGTGGTGAGTTCAGGTTGTGTGTGCCTGTGGACTGGCTGGCAGCTGAAGGGCTGCTTGGGATGTGGAGTGTAAGGAGCAGAGAAAACAAGGCAATGAAGAGGACCAAATTTGCAGAGAACAAATGGGAAGGCTGAGAGGCTGTGGAGGTATGTGCTGGCTTTCGTTAGTGGTCAGAGATCCCTGTGGCATGAACAACTATCTGTAGGATACCAGGGCAGCAGGACGTTTAATTCAGATTGAAGCTGGTGTTCCATATACTTCAGATGGAGTATTTTCTGATTTTTGCTTTTCTTATTTTCTTCCCCCGCATACCCTCTTAGCCTGGAAACATGTAATTTAAAAGCTTTTAGTAGCCCATAAACCATTGCGCTAATGTGCATCAGGCCTTTCAGTGGAGAAGGAATTGCTCTTCCTGAGGGGATATGGGTTGTGCCCGTGGCATCGGTGCTGGTATCATCAAATCCTAATTGAATTGTGCAGCTTTTTCCAACTGAAATCAAAAGGTAGATTCAAAACTGAGCTGACCCTTAATAAATGTAATTAGGCACATAGTTTCTCTATTATTGTTCTCACTATTTTTAAGCACTAAGTCAAAGAAGCCTAAAGCTCATAGATGTTGAGGTTTTCAAAATGTGCATGTCATTACTTAGGACACTGAGGCCATTTCCTTTGTGTTGAATTTCCTTTTAAATTCAGTGAGTGTTGGATCCAGTCTGCAATGCATATGTTAGCAATAAAACCAGGAGAATGAGAGAACTGTATTTTATCCATACTTATTTCTGGTCTGGAGAATCACAGAAAGCTGAAATTTCAGAAATATTTCAGATTTTCATTTGTTTTGTTTTTAACTTTTTACAGTTTATAGGACTATGCTATTGCAAATGGTGATAAAAACATATGCACAACGTTAGTGT